CTTTGCTTTGCTTTGCTTTGCTTTGCTTTGCTTTGCTTTATACCTCCATAATACGGCAGCCCAAGGTTCATAATATTCGAAGCTACAGCATTTATTTTACTTTTCTATTTTTCAGGTTTTGGAGGCATGGGTGGCGGGATGCCCGGAATGGGAGGTGGAATGGAAGGAATGGGTGGAATGGGCGGAATGGGCGGTGGAATGGGTGGAATGGGCGGTGGAATGGGTGGAATGGGGGGTGGAATGGCTGGAATGGGAGGAATGGGTGGTATGGGTGGTATGGGAGGCGGAGATATGTCTATGGGGTTCAATGCGGGAACGACCTCGATTGGAGGAGCTGGAGGTGCCACTATGGAAGGACCAATGGGAGGTGCTGGAGGAATGGTGCCAATGGGTGGCAATGGAGAAGGTGCTTTGATGGGAAAACAGTTCATTGAAAGTGCCGAAGGAGGTACGTGAGAGGCACGTCAAGCAACTAATGTTACTTTTGTAACACTCGTCATTTTATGAGCCTGTGATCACGTCACGTAACACATATCACACATGTAACACTTGTCATTTTATGAGCCTTCCACCACGTCACGCAACACATCATTTATATAAAATTTGTCATTTTGAGCCTGTGATTATTTTTGTGCTTCGCCACTGACGGCACGTCACGATAAACAAATGTCACATATGTAACACTGGTTATTTTATGATCAAGCGATCATGTCACGCAACATATGTCATTTATATAAAGCTTGTCATTCTGTGATCCTTTGACCATTTTCGGAGCTCTTCAGTCTCAGACACTAGCTAGCGTTAGGCAAACAATGTCCTTTATTGTTTCATAAGCCTGTGATATGTCTCCGACGCTAACACAGTTTTTTTCTTTTCATTTCAGGCATGGGTGGAGGCATGGGTGGAGGAATGGGTGGAGGAATGGGTGGAGGAATGGGTGGAGGAATGGGTGGAGGAATGGGTGGAGGAATGGCTGGGATGATGGGAGGTGGAATGGGTGGTGGTATGGGAGGAATGGGAGGCGGAATGGGAGGAGGAATGGGAGGTATGGGCGGTGGTATGGGTGGAGGTATGGGTGGAATGTCCATGGGCGGAATGGGAGGAGGAATGGAAGGCATGAATGGAATGGAGTCAATGGGAGGAATGGGATTCAAAGGAATGCAACTTGAAGGTGAGTCTTATATCAAAATCTTTTTTTTCCTTAGTTGCCAACTCTCCCAAATTATCCGGGATTTAAAAATATTTAGACCTCACCTCTCGGTCTTCCAGTTTGTGCCCCAAATCTCTCGGATAATCGTCATTTCATTTCTTGAGTGCGCCCTTTTTTTTGGTCTTCAGAAAAATCTCCATGCGGAGACCAAAAGCATCACGGGCTCTAGGAAGAAAATAATTCTTTTGTTCTTCTGAGCATGCGCAACTAAACCATCGCCAATTTTTCTTTCTATCAGGTCAATCAATGGGCGGAGCATCCAGTGAGGCCGGCAATAGTATGATGAACATGTTCGGGAGCCCACAGTCTAATGAAATGGGACAAGAAATGCAAGGGATGAAAAGAGAAAAACTGAGCAGAGTACATAAAAGTGCATCAGAAAAGCCAGCCAAGAGAAAGGTTATAAAGAAGCCTTCAAAACAATAACTTCACTACCTAAAACAAACTCACAAAWACATCTTATCTTGTCATCCTGGGGCTGAGAAGATACAGCGAGCTACTTGAAGTCCACGGCTTATTTTACCATAAAACAAAACGAACTTGAATAGAAATTTTCGCTTCAGAGCGACGCATGAAATATCCAGTCTTTATTTGAAATGAAACAATTTTACTCGAGTGCACTATTCCTCAAATGATAGGAGCTTTATATCGAGATATTGGAGTTACAACCAAACAACTTTCAGAAATATTATTATTTTATCTTTAAATAGATATTACAAAAAAAAGAAAATTTAGAAATACGACCAGCAACATTGGTTTAATGAACTTGAAACTGATAAATGACAATATATAACATGTAATAAATAATAAAATTAGAAAAGAGTTCCAAGAATATACAAAACCATAAATACACAAAACAACAACTTATTCTTAAACAAACTTCATGATTTAAATAAATGATAAATATTTGAATAAAGTGACCAGTACCAATTAGTTTCATCTAAAAAATTATTTTTTTATTCATACATAACAACAACAACAAAGATTACTATTAATTACATTATATAAAGCATGGACTATACTCTTTGGTTTTGATCGATTTTGGGCCATTTTAACACCTTTTGAAAAAATATGCATTATTCATGAAGAATGCAAAATAGGTCATTTTGGGCCACTTTTGGGAAAAAAGCATGGACTATAGCCCATGGTTTTAATCTATTTTGGGCCATTTTCACACCTTTTGAAAAAATTTTAAAAAAATATGCATTATTTATGAAGAATGCAAAAAATAAGTCATTTTGGGCCATTTTTGGGCAAAAAGCATGGACTATAAACCATGGTTTCGATCGATTTTGGTCCATTTTCACACATTTTGAAAAGATATGCATTATTTATAAAGAATGCAAAATAGGTCATTTTCCAGCATTTTTTAGGAAAAAGCATGGACTATAGCCCATGCTTTTGATCAATTTTGGGTCATTTTCACACCTTTT